AAGAGTCCGAGAAATATCAAGTTTAAAAAATCCCAACTAAAATTGGGTAAAACGAAAAATTCTACTTCTTTAAAAGTGTTAACCAACAGGGAGTGATCGGCACGTTGTGATTTCAGGACAAGGACAGTAAAACGGCGATAGTCACCTTAGATGGATATCTAATGTGCTGAGAATGTTATCTCGCTTATTAGTGGATCACATTTTGGCGAGGGGCAGTATTCAATGTTACAAAAATATTCACGAAAATGCACGCTCCAGACCACACCGTCAAGGGTGACCCTGATATGTGTGTAACAAAGGTTTAGGGAACGGCTTGTATGCCGAAAGTTTGCAAATGAATGGTCAACACATTCACCCCAACTTGAGATTTCACCTTTAAATTATTATCACCTTTGGGTTACTTGAAGAACGCAGTCTACGAAAACAACCAGCACACAATCGAACAGTTGAAACTCAATATTGAACATGATCTCTAAAGAACTGACCCAGAAACATGCCACGGGGTTATTTAAAATTTTCAGTGGCTTATTGGAGTTCGTAAGGTGAGAAAGGTCAGCACCTGGAGACATGAACAGCCATTTCCTTCCTGGATTTATTTGGCAATATTGAAAGGAAAAGGGGGGCGGGGGGGGGGGGGGGAGGGGGGCTGCACAGGAAGGTTATCTCGCTTATTAGTGAATCAAATTTTACGAAAGTTCTCACACAGAACAAGTATAACGAGGACTCTTAAAATCCTCAATCAAATTTTAGAAGAAAAAAATTTCGTTTTTATGGACACGGCCGCCATATTGGATTTTGTTGACATGTCTTACGCATCGAATATCGAAAATATTTTTTAAATGGAAACAGGTTGATATTTTGCAAGAATATTAACAGACAATAGCTTTTCAAATTCGTTTTTTGAATTTTTCCTAAATAACTAGAACATTAAAAATTTTTTTTTCATGAGGCAGTATTCGAGTTTGCAAAAATATTCTTGAAAATCCACACTCCAGATCCCACCAAAAATATATATCCCATGTATCAAAAATTTAACAAACAATTTTTTAAAAATTACATCATCATCTCTTCATTCTGTGAAAATGTCATGAAGATTGGATGAACAATGGTGGAGCTATTTTTAAAAAGTATAATATTTTTTTTTAAAACACGTTTTGAGAAAATGGGTTATAAAGAAAAAATATGAGATTGACTTAAAGAGAGTAATATGGTGACTGACTTGCCTGGTATGAGTAAAATGAGGCTTTAAGGGGCTCTTATATGCTGAAATACGAGAAGAGGCTGAAGAGGCCAAACGTGTCTACAACTCCAAATCCATAATTTTGACAAGAATCGGGATTTTCAGGGTCCCCTTATTATGTACACGTTTGTTCTTCACTGCTCAGATAGTGACTTTTCGAAATGGAACAAAATAGTAGATTTTTAAAAAGTTTTGCGTTTCTCTCAGTTTGGGCTGAAATTTTAGAAACTTTATAATTTTTTTACAATGTCAGCAAAGCAATTAGTGTTCAGGAGACTTTATACAATGGATGGTGTGGGTGATTGGCAGGTTCTTCGGTGTGGCTTGCTCCTTCAAACATCTATCGTCTTTATCTCCCCTCTTTCTTTTGTCCATATTAGGTTACTTTCTAGTAACACCTCTAATTCTCGGAACTTATATGACCTAATTGTGTTGTTGTAAAACTCTTACTAAAACTAAAACCAAAAATTGATGATAAAGCAGAATGTAGGTGTTTGTGCCAGTTAGCTCGCGGCAGGCTGTTCCACTGCTCCACATCCTGTATTTTTGAGTAAATTTTCAAAATTTCAGAATGATCTAATCTGTCGGGCGAGGGGCTTGTGTGTGCAATTGATTCGAAAGCGCGTCGGGCTCGGTAATGATTGTTTTATAGAACTATTTTTATTCAATGGCTGTAAGAAATATTCTCTCATTGTGTTTCTAGGACGTGCCATAGATTTAATCAAACCACGAAATCAGCTCTAATAGTACATGTAGTATTAAGCATAATATGACCAAACAAATATTTTTTTAAATACCCCTTTGCCATGGCATTTATTTATTGTTTCAAAATATTAGTCAAACTGTTGACATTTAATAATATTTTATCTCAAGATGCATCGACAAAAACTTCAGGGAGATAAAAGTACTGTCAGAGGTGTAAAACTGCCAAAGATCAGATGTGTACAACTAAACTAAGATTATTTTTTTGGTCCAATAATAGTATAAAGGCTCCAAATACTAGGGGATCAATCAGCACATTGTTACTTAAAGGAAGTATCACAAATTTACCATTCAGCATACACAAACGAAGTCATAAACAGGTCAGGTGTACAGAGGGATAAAACTTCACGATACTTTAAAAAAAGAAAAATGTATAATTTGAAGGGTGAAATTGCAATACGATGCTCAAAACTGACTAAACCAAGTTTCTTAGAACCTAACGACATCAGTTCTCACTCCCCATCACTGTGGTGTACTGTTTAGGCGCTTCCTTGTCACATGGAATTAACGTGAGTTTGGTTCACGAATGGGAGAGGAATTTTATAAAATTGTAATAGTCTCGTTCTTCCTACAGGGATGTTGTATCCTTCTCAGACCAGGTTGGCTCTGACAGGCAGGGTCGAAGCCTGCCTACCAAATTATCTAAAGAGTGCCTATGGGGACCTAAAAACCGCTTAAGATCGGCTGAATATTTGAGGTCATGTGGTTAGCTCAATGTAAGGGTAAGACGATTGGCTTAATATGACGTGGATAACTGTCAATGTGAGTCAATATGAAGAAATAAATTCTCGTCATCATCATCATTATGTGCCAGATCTGCGACAGACATTGGCGATAATGGTTCTCCATTTATTTCTTTAGTCGGATGCTCTTGATAAAGCTACAGTATCCTGATCTTTCCCCCGTCACTCATCTGTTTAGGTTTTCCAAGTTGGTTGCTCTGGGTCTGCCCCTGCCTCGCTAGCCTTCCGTTTTGCCAGTGAGAGATAGATGTTCATGGACGTAATGTCTATTCAAGTCTCCCAAAAACTGCACGATTTGCCTCTTCCAGGTTGTTTTTAATCTAGAAGCGACACGCATGAGCTGCTCATTTGATTTTCCTTCCTTTAAAGAAATTTCTATTAGTTTCTTAAGAAATCTCATCTCTGTTGCTTCTATCTTATTTTCGCTATCTTTAGTGATTGCCCAGCATTCACAGCCACATACAAAAATTGACCACACATAATACTTTCACTTTGATAGTCTGGGAGAGTTTTCTATTTCTCAGGATTGGGCTCACTTTATTAAAACTATCTACGTCGCTTCATTTCTAAGGAACATTTAACATCAGATATAACATATGTTTTCCTTGATATTTAAACTGATGAACTTGTTTGATCTTTCTGTCTTTGCTTATTACATCACAAATAGGATTTACTTCTTTTTTTTTTTTACATAACCATGTATTCTGTTTTCTTCATATTTAACAATTGCCCTTGTATGTTCTCTTTCCGTTAGAACAGCATGTTGGATGAAATTAGTATTATTCATAATTAAGTGCAGTCAATATAACTTCTGTTTATTTACAATACTAACACGTATGAAGCCCATCTTTGTCCTTCAACAAACCAAGTGGAATAAAAAAAAGGGGGAAAAAAGCAGATTCTTCATTCAAATTAACACGTTCATTGCTTGAAATATTCGAATCCTTAGGCTGTTGACCACATCAACAAATGTGGCAACATAATTCACAGCCTACCTGAAGGTCATTAGATCTCATGTCGTTCAAAAAAATCAAAGGCGTTCAATCAAAATAATAACGAAGTTCTGTCTGCAAAACACATAGAATAAATGAGAAAAAACTTCTATACTGATAAACAGTAAACAATGTACTTTATTAGAAACTCCATAAACATAACACCCACTATATAACATGAGATTGAAATTTACATTGCGACAAAGGTCTAGTTATTGTGTCAATTTTCCATCCATAAGAAACCATGCTGAACTCGGATAGAACTTGACACTCTGATTCAACAACAAAAGTGAAAAACGTTTTACGTTTTTTCAGAACATGAATCGTCGTAATCATAACTTCTATAGCGGTCTTGCCGACAAAACATTGGGTTGTTGCCACTGCCTCTTCATCCAACAAATGAGTTGTGGCTTGAGCGAGAGCGGCAGTAAGACATTTTTCTTAAAGTGTGTGTGTGTGGCGCGGGGGGGGGGGGTGGCGGGGGGGGGGGGGGGCCCACCCCCGGAAGAGTTTCTCACTTATTAGTTAACCAAATTTTACTATATAAATTTCACACACATAACAAGAATAGTAAGGAGTCGTAAAACCCACATCAAATTGGGAAAAGTTTCGTTTCCAGGGATACGGCGGCCACATTGGACTTTGTTAATATGTCTTACGTAAGGAATACCAACTTTTAAAAAACTGATTGTTTATTACAACAATATTGTTGGGGTTGTTGTTGTTTTTTTGTTGTTGTTGTTGTTTTTTTTTTTTGTTTTTTTTTTTTTTTGGGGGGGGGGGGGTTGCATGCACGTAAGCAGACAATAGATCTAACAATTTGTCTGTTGATATTTTCCTAAACCAATTAGAAAATTTTTAATGAATTTTTTCCTGAGGTAGTATTCAAGTTTGCCAAAAATCCGTGAATATTCACACTCCAGACACCACCAACAAAATCTATCCATCAGTATTACATATTTTCTTCGTTCCGTGAAAATTTCATGAAGATTGGAAGAAAAATGAAAGAGTTATTCTAAAAAGTATCGAGAAAAAGCGATTTGGAGAAAACGGCCGATAAAGAAAAAAAAATTGACTTTTTGAGGAAATGGTGATAACAAGCATCCCTTGTATGGGAAGAAATACAGTTTTTTGCGGGCTTCTTAAGCAATGAAATAGTTGTAGGAGAGGCTGAGGATGCTAATGATGTCTACAACTCAATTTTCCGTAATTTTGAGTCGAATCGGGACTTTGGGGATGTAGCGCCCCCCCCCCCCCTTTTCATTTAGTCGACTTAGTCAGAGAGTGTATTTTGGGTGGATTTTTATTTTTATCTCTAAAACATTTATGTTCTTTCAGAAACACATTTCAGAGTACATGTACTCATAAACAAAGGCACACAAAATGTACATTTTCAATTTCCAGTGACTCTCAAGCTTTGGAAGATAACTGAACAAAGTTTGTAAGATGATAACAGTTTTAATATCCATACCCTAAAATTGACGAACGCACGATTTCAACACGTTATAACACAATTCTTCTCTTGCAAATAGAAGTTTTCTTTTCTAAAATGATCTTTAGGTATACTGATAGAACAATATTAAATTCTTTGATTATCTTGATAACGACCTCTAAGAATCTTACAATTTCGATAAAGCAGATAGAACATGTGATTTTCGACCTCATGGACCTAATAACTAAAAATGGTAAAAAATTTCAAAGAGAACTTTCGAATTTTGAGGTAGAGAAGTAAGGATGATGTCAAGAGGAGTAATTCTGTAAAAACAAAGTCAGCAGTCCAATAACATTGACAGAAATGTACAATGTGAAGAAAATGCGATCCATAACGCATGCAATCATCCGCCATTCATGCGTGTATTTCTTGCTCTGTTCCATGCTGTCCTGCAAATTCATTTCTTCATCGATCAGCTCCCTGACACTGGTCACCTACCATAAATAGAAAACAAAAATCCGCTAGACGATCTGTGAAGCGGCACGTTTAATCTTCCGGCGTTATTGAAAGAAGCAACACTCGGCAGCACCCAAGTTTACTCTTCTGATTCCTCCCTACGTCTATCTATCTATCTATCTATCTATCTATCTATCTATCTATCTATCTATCTATCTATCCATCTATCTATCTATCTATCTAAAAATTGTATGCTATATGAAAAAATGTGGAAGAAAGTTTACTACTATTACACTCAGTTGTGTCGTACAACCACCTATTTGGGTCACCTCTCACGACCTCATATTCTACCAAAAAGTAACTATACCAATTGCTCCTGAATGTTTCAAATGAACTTGGCGGCCAGACTTTATAACCAATCCTTTCAGAAACCTGGGTGTCATACTTCCTGTATGAACGATTTTGTAATACTTTGTAGTCGCACGCTTGTGAAATGCCCTCGACTTTCTCATCCTCTCTTTGTATAGACCACACCCAGACACTTTTCAACTATGCCTATCCGGGGCTAACCTTTTAATGTTAGCCCATTTCTTTCGACGTTTCTGTACATTATTATCTATGACTATTTTTAGTTTCCACGTGGTGGCCTTCCCCTTGATCCCCTACCCTGTGAATTCCAATTCAAAATTGTCTTTGTTACGCAGCTGTATATTATGTATATCCAAATGCATCGCCACCGCCTCTCCCCCACTTCATCTCTGACTTGGCTCTGTCTTGTTCTACTGAACACTTCCTCGTTGGTGAATCTGCCTGTCCATGTGAACCTAAGTAACTTTCTCACACACTTGTCCAAGAATCCTGTTCCTCTTTATGCAAGTCTGAGATGCTTTCACTGTCTCACATCCATACAATAAGACTGACTTCCCATTTGAACTGCAAATCCGCAGCTTTGTTCGGAGCAATATACATGTATATCCTTTGTTCCCTCCAAATATATGGAAGCAGTCTGTGCCTTTTGCAATACTAGATTTAATGTCAGCTCCTGTTCTTCCCTCTTTATCTTCTAGTGTACTTCCTTCTATTGAAACCTGCTCTTTTCGTCGTGCCACTATCCTAAGGACCTTTGACTCTCCGTGGCGGATCCTCAAACCCAACAGACTCTGGGTGTGCGACAGATGCACGACGTCATTCACCAGTTCAAATATTTTAACGGTGTCAATTGGGTCCATTGTAGGTCGTTTTTGTGCCCACTAGTGGTTTTCTTTACCCAGGATCAATCGCCGAGGTGGAGAGGAAAGGTGACCGCAAACATTCCTGTCCCACACCAGTCTTGGTTTCAAAGCTGCTGTCAGTGAGGCCCTTCACATCATGTACAACCCCTGCAACTTGTCCCTTTGTACGTTCCCCAACTTCTGCGGGATTCCCCAATGTCAGAGGCCTTCTCATAGTTATGGAAGCTAGCAATCAACTGAGAGTTCCAGTCCAGGGCCTAAGTGCGGGCGGAACAGACAGAGAGATCCACGAAACCACGGGGAAAATATATTATGACCCCCCCTCCCCCCCCCCCCCCCCCCACGGCAGGTTAAAAAAAATTGAGCTTTGGAAATGGGACCGTAGTACAAGTAAATAAGAAGGGTAGAAAAAAACAGGAGGAAAACAAGGACCAACGGAAGAGGGAAGAAACACATGATGGGAGGGTGGGGGGGGGGGGGAGAAAGCAAAGCTAGCTGTAGAGAAAAAGTATAGGTAGTCATAGAGTATATCAACGAGGGAAACGGTAACAAAAATCTACGGCTACCATGAGTTACGAGATGAAAAAACTATATGAAGTAAAAGGAATCTGGTACTGATGAAAAGTAGAGTGAAGCGGGTTTTATGTTTTCCCAAACACGGATGTGTATGGGAAAGACGTGCACTTCAAAGTCCATATTTGACAAAACAACAGAAAAGGGGCGGTGGTGGTTTTGGTGGAAAGTGGGGCTGTACATGATAATTCCTACAACACTTGATGATTTAACATAGTTGATGATTTAACATCAAATTGTCGGAAACATTCTAACATTTTCCTAATTGAGCTATGAACGCACAGGAAGAAAACAAAGAAGGAAAGAAATCATTATTGTCAAGAAAAGCTAGAATGGAAAGTAAGGTGTAATTAGTGTGCCTTTGTTTAACCTGAACAAACCACACCTATGACATGTAGAAGGTGGGAAGGAAGAAACATAAAAGGGAAAAATAGACAGAAAAGAAGACGACATAATGGGAAGTGAGACAATGGTTAAAGTGGAAAGGGGAAAAGAAGAAAGAAACATTTAGGACATGTCTTCGTATTTTGTCACTGCATATATATGCTAGGATAATTTTATTAAAATGACACAGGTTTTTTAGCCCCAGGCAATGAATGGTGAAACTAGATCCCAGAAAACCGAACCCAGGTGTTGACTGTTCCTTTGATGTCAAAAGCAACATACGAGTACATTTTACATAATTGACACTCAAACTCACCTCATCCACTAGATTCGTCTCTTCACTGGTTGACGCACACGCAGTTGAAGTGGACGGCTCTGTGCAAAAGTCAGATGTCACATCCTGTTTGATATCAATGGAAAAACTATTTTTCTGAATGGGCTCCAAACAAAGGCCCTCACAATCCGACAATTTTCATTTTCGGTCCAGTTCTTTTAAACGAGCGCCAGGTTTACGCAATATGGGACTACAAAAGATTAACTACTTCTATTTTAGCACGCCCTCTCCCAACCTCTAATACTCAAACAACCTCCCAACCTGATGTTTTTTAAAAAGAAAAACACTATGTCAAACTTTAGAAAGGTTAAAGTACCTATACGTATTTACCTTCTGTACATACTAATTTTATTATCTATTAAAGCCACAAAAGTAGGCTCAATTTTAAATTTGAAACTGTCCACTTGTTTTAATTTTTAATTTACCTTTCCCTTTGGCTGATACCCCTGAGACAATATGTGCTCTATTATAAATCAGGCACGAAAGTAAGTTATGCATAGAGAACGCTAGTTCCAAAAATGAGCGCATAACGGATTAAAACAAATTTACATGAGGACTTTTTGTGTAATAATAGACTTGAAACGCACTCTCTGACTTAACTGGGAATGAAACCATGGTCACTTATTACAGTTGTGCTCGTTGAAGAAAACCACCTAATTTCACGAAGAAAAGTAGTCTTATAAGACAGGAGGTCCTCTTGGACAATGTTATTATAAAATAAAAATAAAAAACACAAGCCGAGGGTAGTGGGGAGTGGTTGCTTGTACAGGTGATTGTCTTACTAGGTCGCCATTAGAGCAAGTTCTCCTGTAATTGATAGTCCTCACCCTACTACGATAGGAGAAAAAATCTGACGCAGGCTCTACCTGAAATGTACTGTAGTTTCTCATTTCTTGTTTGGATCCGTCATGGCCATGTAGAAGATGTATTTTAGCTACAAGTGTTTCTGGATCTGACTGACTCCGGACACCTGTGACATATGTCGACCACGTCTTTTGGGGAGTAGTGCGGTGAATCTGGTTGGCTTGTAGAACCTCACGAACACACAGCATCTTTGCAGCACTGTCGATTACACACTGAAAAGTAGTCGAAATAGTAACATGCCTTGAATTTTATTCGGCCTTGAATGTAAATATTCATAATTGTAGCACTGTTATGTCCGCATTGACATTAATTAGATCATTTAGTAGGCCGGCTGTTTCGACACGACCTGTCAAGGCCGAACCTGGCTGAGAGGGATACCACGTCCCAGCAGAAAGTTAAAATCACCCCCTTCACATAGGACTCGAACTCAAACCGTCTGTGTCCGGAGACGTTGTGCCGAATTGCTGTTTAGAGGTAAAAATAGACTAAATAGATCGTTAATAAAGTGTTATTGATTTTTATAACTCAAATTCCTTTTCTTCTTTAGATCTAGTTTTGTTGCTGTTTGTTTGGGGGTGTTTTGTTTGGGATTTGTTGTTTTGGTTTGTTGTTGGTTGTTGTTGTTGTTGTTTGGTTTATTTTGGGGG